TAGGGTCCAGATAAAAAGTCTGTAATTTTGAAAGAAAAATTATTAAGAAGAGAAACGCATAACCACAAAAATTTTAACCTTTCAAAGACAAAGAGCGCATAAAACATTTTTCAAGATAACTGGGGGCCACTTCTCCATCACTTAACCTACGTCGTTAATAATCTGGAGGAGCAGATATTTTCTGAAAGTCTTACGATAAGCCAAAAAAGAAGGCAAATAGAGGCAGTGGGTAGCACACGTTTTAAGTTTTCAGTTTTTCCACAAGAAAAGGTTAGACGGTGATGCCGTTCTATCTTTACAATCTTGTTAATCGAAAAAAAAGTGCTGTAAACGATTACTAGTTTCACCTCTTTGGTTAAATACAAAGAAAATAACTTTGGACTAGTTCTCGCGCCACTTCACTTACGAAAGCGGCAATAAATAGAAACTACACCTTTGTGTTATTCATTTCACCTGATCGCACTTAATCAACTTACCTGCAGATGGTTAGGACTATGCATAATTCTAATCCATTGCTTGTCATTAATGGGATCTACCCAGCATACGACATGATGTACTGTCTCAGCTACACTGTCCATGCCCTTCAGATCAATCCATTGTGGAAAATTCATATATTTGTCCTATAATATCACATTTCACACTTGTAAAATCTAGAGTTCAAAAAAAAACTATGAAAGACAATAAGGCTTACAGCAAATTGGGTAATCTGCATGTTATGCAGCGTAGCTGAGCAAGCAATCACTTGTAGGCGCATTCCATTTGAAGATACAGTAGGGATCTTAGCCAAAAATCGTTCAAGTTGCTGTTTAAAAGAGGACAGGATTTGATCCTAAAATGACGGACGTTTCAAAGATTTCTTTCTAGAAACTTTTAACACTGGCAAAAAAAATTGAATTGAAAGAAAAAAAAAACATCTTAAAAAACGTATAACTATTGATTCAAGTCAGATTTATACACACAGCAAAATAATCAACTCTTTGAGAGACCCACCGCTTCATCAATAACGATGAAATTAAGTCCATTCGTCGACAACTTATGGGTTTCTATCATATCCAAAATTCTTCCAACTCCTCCAGTAACGATATCAACACCTTTATCGAGCTCATGCAACAACTGCGACATATTCATTCCTGCCGCTAAGGAAACACATCTAGAACAGTAACCCAATACCGATATGGACCGCTTTTAACTGTATGAGAACACCTACCTAATCTTCGGATCGCTGACATTTTTCGAGAATTTGATTAAGTTCTCATGTGTTTGCTCAATCAACTCCTTTGTCGGCTCTAGAACTATACAAACAGGTGCCGCAGATGGTTCTTTCCTGTCATTTTGCGCATCCAAACCACGCCATTCAATCAATGAGGATGGAGCTTGAGCCAAAGCGATGAAACCCTGAGATTGTAACCAATAATTGGGTTGAAAACTGAACAAAGCAAAGAAACTAAAACAGGTCCCGGTATCGTTTAGCACTCGCTTCTATTCTTAGATAACAACAAAGGGTTTTGCCTTTTCCTCTCTATACATCATTAGCAGCCATGTTTACAAGTAAAACATTTCTGATAATAATCTCATATATTTTTACTTAATATGAAAAAGCTTATAGATAAAGAAAAATCTGGTTGAGGTCTGTTATGATGTGATCCAATATAAAAAGTTGCATTAGTTTTGAGAGCTTCAGAGGCCATCGCACATTGTTAGTAAATGATTACTCAAAGGTGCAAACAAAAACAGATGTTCGCTGTGTATTACAATGAAAAGGAAGTTATATCTCAAACTAGGACAAGTCAAAAACTAGCTTTCGTGAGC